TATCATTATTATTATTATTATTATTATTGTTGTTGTCATTTTCAATATTATTATTAGTATTAATATTATTATTATGATTTTTATTATTATTATTATTATTATTATCATTATTATCATTAGTATTATTATTAATATTTATATTATTATTAATACTATTATTATTATTAATATTATTATTTTATTATAATTTTTTTCATCTGAATGAATCAAAGACTGAAGTGCTAGTGTTTGGCCCTCCGAGTGTTTGTGAATCTACAATTAATCAACTAGGTCTGTTTAAATCTAAGGTCATCAATCGTGCGAAAAGACTTGGAGTTACTTTTGATACTGAGTTAAACCAAAGTCCCTTTAAAGCAAGTCATCTCACTTGGCAGCCATCTTTTAAAGAATGCTTGGCCGTTCTGTTTGAATGGGGAAACATCAAATTCTGCAAATTTGCTTGCCAAGCTTACAATTAAATTTCATATTAGGAAGCACCAATAAAATGAAACAACAGCTGTCTCTTTAGTTTTATTTCTAAACGTTCAAATCAATATTTATTGCATTGCCTGTTTTTGTGAAATTTTTATGTATTTATTTATGCAATTATTCATGCATTTATGCAAAACGGTTTAATGATCTGAATAGTCGCACATGTATTTTCTTAGACAATTTGATTTAGATTTTATTTATACTTTTATACAGCTTATTTCTTCATAGACCATTTTGAGGGATGCAAACAAAAGCAATTGCCCTAACCCATTTACTTATTTACATTTTTAATTTTCTTATTTACATTTAGAATCCTGAAAGGTCCACATATTAATAAATAGTGTTATGACTGCTGTTTTAACATTAGAATATGATTGAATTGGCTCTTTTTACAGTTATGAAATAGTTTAAAAACAAGCAGAAAATGTTTATGGGACAATGACAAGACCATGTTGAAATGCTCTACAGTTTATCTATACAGAAATAAAGTACATATATAGTTTATAACTGGTGATCTGGCCGTTAGCCAGGACAGATTACTGTGCATGTTCTGTTAAATAAAAGGTATAGTACTGTACACAGCTGTATTTTGCTTGTTTTGACACTTTTAAACTTTGTGGCTTAGAAATAATGAATTATTCATGTTTGGTGTGGTCAGAGATAAATTTGGTAAATCCTTCATTTTAAGCTCTGAAAATTATGTGAAATAAAAACTAACTGTAGTACTAAAAACCCTGAGCCATTTGCTCATGACTATTGAGCAATCTCATACACGACACACAAAAGGTGAAATGAATGAGGAGGCATGTGGAGATAACGCGAAACCTAAATCAAGTAATTTTAGCATATCAAAATAATATTCATGTGTATAAAATATATTTTCCCAACAATCAAATTGTGGCTAGTGAAAATGCAGAGTGGCTAGTAATGTTGGAAAACTATTAGCCACAGTGGCTGGTGATCAAAAAAGTTAATGTCAAGCCCTGAATATAAGTAGCAACAAGAATCAGTCCAAGGCACTCGAATAAAGTGAAAAATGTAAAAAGCCTTTATTCACATGGCTACATTTCTAAAAACCTACGCGTTTCGGCAGAAGTCTGCCTTCATCAGGGTAACAGTGATCAGGTGCGTCTAGAGTCTCTTTTGAGTACTACGGTCACATGACTCATTTAAACATCTCAAATGGCACTCAAATAATTTAACAAGCAAAGTCTACTATCATCATAAATTCAGCATAGATACACAAACAGCCACTTGCATATATGGGAAAAGAGAGAGAGAAGAAAAAAAAAAGGAAAATACCTATATATACAAACACATACATCAATGTATATTGATAATCTGTAAAGCATCTATAAAAAAAACTCATTCATTCATTCATTTTCCTGTCGGCCTAGTCCCTCTATCAATCCGGGGTCGCCACAGCGGAATGAACCGCCAACCCATCCAGCAACCTTCCACGCAGCGGATGCCCTTCCAGCCGCAACCCATCTCTGGGAAACTATACTAGGTCTTGAGTCTAGAGTCTCTTTTGAGTACTACGGTCACATGACTCATTTAAACGTCTCAAATGGCACTCAAATAATTTAACAAGCAAAGTCTACCATCATCATAAATTCAGCATAGATACACAAACACCCACTTGCATATATGAAAGACTGTTTTACAAAAAAGAAGAGAAGTCTAATTCACCATTTAAACCTGGAAATCTGGTTGCTTTTAATGTATAGATCCAAAAAGTCTCTCTCTGTTTGTGAGACTTTTTGGATCTATACATTAAAAGCAACCAGATTTCCA